GTAGAGTCATTTGCACTCAGTTCAACTTGTCTTTCAGTATTACAGTAGGGTTAGTTGTATTCAGTTCAACTTGTCTTTCAGTATTACAGTAGAGTCAGTTGTATTCAGTTCAACTTGTCCTTCAGTATTACAGTAGGGTCAGTTGTATTCAGTTCAACTTGTCTTTCAGTATTACAGTAGAGTCAGTTGTATTCGGTTCAACTTGTCTTTCAGTATTACAGTAGAGTCAGTTGTATTCAATTCAACTTGTCTTTCAGTATTACAGTAGAGTCAGTTGTATTCAGTTCAAGCTTGTCTTTCAGTATTACAGTAAAGTCAGTTGCACTCAGTTTATATCTTATAATGTCTATAATGCCAGTTCCCACAATTCTTATTCACTTTACTGGCATACATGATAACAATGTGTTTCATTACTTGCTTTTAGAAAGTACCTAACATTTGCCCTAATTCATTATCATTTTGTGTTTAATATCTGTGTTCAAAGTATTTTAAGCTACGTATTGTGTTCGTCATTCTTAGGAGAAGAGTGATATGTGCTCGATGAAATAGTCGTTTATGTTAATGAAATTACCAGATTATTAAATTAGCTTCAAGGGAGTATTATCGTGGTTTTAACAAAACCTAATGAAATAAAAATGTTGTTAGCTAGTACATCTAGATCTAACATTAATATTAGACCTGTTATTTCCATCTTTTTAATCTTAGGTTTGGATCTAAATATAATGATAATGACAGAAATTTAACTTTATACATCTAAACTAGACCCTAGGTTTGGGTGCATAGATTGAAAGCACCTTGTATTGAATCTACCCAGATCTAGATATAATCCTGCCTCATCAATTCTAGATTTAGATTTACTAGGCCTAACTTTTAGAACCAATGTTACATCTAGATCTATTAACTTAGTCATTAGATCTGTCCCAGTGCAATGCCTAGTTAATAGTTAGTATAGGCTACAATTTGTATGATGATGGACCTTGGGTCTAGAAATAAAGTTATAACTGCAATTAGACCTAAAGTCTAGTACATTAGTTGGTGTAAGACATGATTTACAATCAGCCAATACAATTACAAACCACTACATTAGGCCTATAATGTTTACTAGATCTAGACCTAAGCCTTGCCTGTTGCATATATTGCCAATCTTGCACACCATTTAATATGTTACATCAATCTCGTATTTTCTTTTTGTTGAACATACACTTACTTGTACGTTGTACTCTAGGACTTGTATTTGATCTACAGATGAATCATGGAATAGTGTAATTTACTTCTGTACTTCAATTCGGTCTCACTGTATTTCAGTGGGCGGCTTTTAAAAGTTAAAACTGCAAGCGTAATACACACAAATAACGTAACACTGTGTCGTATTTACTTAACGTAGGGCAGTTGCGCTTTATCCTAGGGGAGGGCATAATTATTAATTAAAAAGCATTATAGGCCAGAGGAAATTTTGCGCCCCTTCACAGCTGCGCCCGGGAGCTACTGACCCCTACTGTCTGAGGGTAAAATATTTTTTTGGCTTATCATATACTATATTAATGGTTATGAGCATCACATTTGTTTGATTAGTTTTATTAATTATAGCATTTTGAGGCAGTTACATATCTTGGGTACCAAAATACGATTTTCGGTAAATATTGTGTTTTGAATTGTAGCTGCTTTTAGATTTCCACTTCTAATAAACTATATCGTCACTTGGTTGCCTAATTTTGAAGATATTCATTTTGATTGATAGAATATTGCATAATCTCTTTGTTCATTCGAAACTAATATTTCTGTTTTATATCACATAAAATAAGTGCATGTCATATATAAAACTGATTCAATATGTAGCTTAAATATATAGAAAACGTAGTTTGTGTGTGCTTGTACCGTTCGCCTCGTTTTAGCTGTAATTTATATTATATGTTCTAATTTATATTCGCATGAAAAGTTATACGAAGTCAGTGAAACATATCTTCATGGATTATTATATTTTTAGGACTTTTAAAAACACAAATGGACATTGAAGGAAGACCTCTTTTACCAAGGTCAAATGACGCAGCCAATGACAAATGCAGTGACATTGCAAATGAAAAGTACTGTTTTCAGTCCGGTAAGATTTATAATACAGACTTCCTTGTGACTGTTTTATGTCACGTGATCTTATGTCGTGCATGTTATTTCGATGACGTAGCGTTCATAGATATTTACTAGACTGATACAAAAATACGATTGATCGCTATTCTGAGAAAGTTTCGATGTAATGGAGTGTCAGACTTCAAGCTGAATTAATGGCCACCAGAAGATTTCGACATAATGAAGTCAGACTTCTAGATATATGACTGGCTGTGAGAAATTTTCTACATGGAAAGTTAAGCCTTCCAAGTTCTAGTTGAATGAATGAGAGTTGGAGAAAATACTACGTCATAGTAAATAACAAAACACACGAATACGTTTTTCCTCAAAGGATGCTACAGTATAAGACTTTTTTTTTATTTGTTAAAATGCTAATATTATTTGTAAAAAAAATTACACATGTCATACATACACGTGCAGAGAGCTAGTAAGTTATTATAAAAACGATTTGGGGACATCATCATGTCGTTGCAGTCTATGTCGCATGACCGCCCATGCTCTATGTGACGACTGTGCATCTTAACTTGAATATATGAATATTTTGAAAACGATCACTTTTCAGTAACATAACACTAACTATGGATCGCAAAATAATTCCAAAATCTAGTTCTGATGTATATGGATTCCACCGCGAATTTATATCGTCTGTGGTTATCACGTGACTTACTGATTTGTATATTTAAAATCGTTTTATTGTTAAAAATTCAACCTCTGTACATAAGTAAGGCTAAAATTCTAACTTAGGAAAATTCATTATCAGAATATGTGATAAGTGCAAAATATTTCAAAATTAACATTTTTGTTTTCAATATGTTTTGAAAATTTAACTGAACTCTTCCATTTGGTTCAATGCTACTAAGTGAATGCTAAATGTTTATATTTCTGGAAAGAATGTTCTGCGGCGTTAGAATTTAATTTTGTTTATTTTTTAATATGACCTTCATTTTTGTATATTTTCAAGGGAGAGCAAAACATGTATGTAGGGGGATCAGCTTTTATAGTGTGAGTCAACAGATTGAAACTATACGTGTCACGTGTGATTAAACGCAAACACAAATTTACAGTTTTAATAAGAATTACTAAAAATATTTAGTTTAACTACAATGTTAAGAGTACATCATAATATGTGCAAATGTTTGTGAAATGTGAGGGCGCCCATGTTTTGCTCTTCTATTTCGTAATACATTTGCACACGTGATACGAATATTTATATGAAATTCTGTAAATTTGAAAAAAAGTGTTGAAACTGGGAAATTTAATATTATTTTTATTGGAGCCGTAAATTCCATCTTTAATTTTTCTATTAATAGTAATTACTGATCTGGTTATCTTAGTTCTATTGCACTGTTTATACAAGTACCAACTATTATGGGGTAGGAATCTCAGCTTCAGAATTATAAGTTTTACCTATCACCCCCTATGATTTAGATATAGTAATTTATTATCATTTTATACCTTATTTATTGCCTTCTTTTTTAAGAAAGCAGATTTAGTTAATTTTTAATGTAGCTCCCAGATAGCCGAAAAACATGAAATAATCAGCTTTCTTAGCCCTCTGTTAAGATATGATTATAAGATGATGTGTCATTTTTGTATGTGGAATAAAAAGCACAAACAAAGTTAATCTGCAAACAGGGGGGTCAAAGATTTTGGAGTAAAAGGAGTAACATTTGTTGTGGGATGAAATGAGACCAAATTTAATTTGACTAACACAAACCTACACTTGTTTTACTGATATAAACAGAAGAACGACAAAATATCAGAAAGTGCATGGCTGAATGGAATAAGCTGGATTAATTAAAGAAAATCATAAAACTGTGATCCTAATGTTTAAACTAAATGAAGTAGAAAATTTAATGGAGTTCAAAATGAAAAATTTTAGGTTGCATAGCCTCTTAGAAATTTCCCTAAGTGATCTGACAATAAGTGTTGACTTTAATGTCTTGGCCAATGACAGTGAGGACTAGCTGGATACAGACGGGTCTTTCACTGTACGTGGTTCCTGGACAGGCCTTAACTTGTCAAAAGTGGGCCATCAATGTTCTATCGATTAAATAAGATGACTGCCGTAATACTGAACAAAACTAGGTCTCCGTTGCTGATTTAAAAACAAATTAAACAAAAAAAAATGTAATTTTGTTTTTATACATCCACACATTTCTTAGTATAGTAAGATTTTTTAGTCTGAACATTCTGGAAGGAAATTTCGAAATAAGGGAATTGCGCGGGAGGGGTTATTCCTCCTATCTTTAGAAGTGACTTTAAGTGTAGTTTGGTGTACTGTGAGATAAAATGTTTAGAAATTTTTCCCGACTGTTAGTGTGAAAGATTATCTAGATCGTGTGCTTATTTGAACTACAGTTAAGTTGATGAAATCAAATGATATATGCTAAACACTTTCTTTGATAAATTCGATCTCACAAACTGTACGTGAGCTATTTTCTATACACTATTATAACAATCATTCAGATTATTAACAAGTGCAGTTCCATTAGTTGTAGAACCAAGCAATAGCATTTAAAGTTTAACTTTGACATATTTATACGTCACACACTGTTTTGCTGCTCTATGTACATCACTATTTCACAACATTTCGTTTATCTAACTTGTAGTCTACGAATATGACACCCTGTACATCACTATTTCACAACATTTCGTTTATCTAACTTGTAGTCTACGAATATGACACCCTGTACATCACTATTTCACAACATTTCGTTTATCTAACTTGTAGTCTACGAATATGACACCCTGTACATCACTATTTTACAACATTTCGTTTATCTAACTTGTAGTCTACGAATATGACACCCTGTACATCACTATTTCACAACATTTCGTTTATCTAACTTGTAGTCTACGAATATGACACCCTGTACATCACTATTTTACAACATTTCGTTTATCTAACTTGTAGTCTACGAATATGACACCCTGGGATTATAATAATAATAATAAGCTAACCTCTTGTGTCCGATTTTTGATCAACAATTTCGCATGGCACAACTATGTTCTCAACAGATATGGACAATTTTCTTGGAGAATAACAAGTTAAAATGTCATTAAATGTCATAAACTACTTGCGCACGTAAATGTATACATCCGAGTTCAAAGGCTTATGCCCTCCGGTAACTCAACGTTAAGATTTCGGGTTTATAATGCTAAACATTGGGGTTGAATCCCCGAAATGGGTACAGCGCAGCTAACTCATTGTGCAACTTTACGCTTAACAACAGCAAAACATCAAAGTTTTAAACGTATTTTATTGTTGTTTTCAAAGTTCGCATTCGCCATGGGGACGAATTCAACAGAAACGTCGCAAGGTGTTTAAAATATTCGAGGCCCGGGTCCATAGACACGGGAATTTTCGGCGTTTCATTTTAATGTCGTCACGGTTTTCTATTCTGATTTTTCAAGACATCAACTGGGGATTCGAGGCATTATTATGTAGCTTGTCATGTGACCTTAGTGAATGATTCATTGTATTAAACAAATTAAGACATTATCTGTTTTACAGTCTGTTTTTATGAATTATGTTTTACAAAATCAAAAATTGCCCATTTAAACCTAACCAACATTCTATATTTACAGGATTTAGTAAAGTAAACCAGCATCTAGGCCTAACTAGCATGTATACACTTTGGGTAAGAGAGCATAACCGTATAGCTGCGATACTGAGGCAGTTGAACCCCATTTGGGATGATGAGCAGCTCTACCAAGAAGCAAGGTGAAGTAGGCCCTGTAAAGAATGATAAACACAGAGGGTTTCATTAATAAAAGATTAAGTCCACAAATATCTGTAATTTATCCTTAAATTATATATATATGATCTAAATGTGATACAATTAAAAATTTATTTGCTGTTGGCAAATAAATTTATTTCTATTATTATCATGCCTAGCATTCGGTTTCAGAGCTAGTTAATTATAAACCTTTTAAACTTAAAATTCAATATAGCTAAATATATTTTAAAACACGATTCTTGAAGTTCTATTATTCAAACTTATAATATTCAAGAAAGGTATTAAAAATTTCATAATCTAACTCTTATATAAGTCCAATCGTATCATATATTATTTATTATGTCAAAATTGTGATTTTTGTTTCCAAATTAATTTCTACAGGAGAATTGTGATTGCAGAGATGCAAGCGATTACGTACAATGAATATCTTCGGATTCTTCTTGGCCACGAACTCTATCATTCTTTCAAATTAAACACAAGAAAGCGTGGCCACCATACTGATTATCAGGTGGACAAGGATCCTAGTATACTGAATGAATTTGCTACGGCTGCCCTACGATACGGTCATTCCTTGGTTCAGAGGGAGCTCCTTCTAGTAGACGCAAATCTCAATGTTAGCAGTGTAAGACTAAAGAATAACTACTTCAACCCTTTCAAACTGTACGAAGGTGTTTTTGATTCTGTGTTACGTGGACTAGCGCTTCAACCATCCCAGTCTTTCGATCAATATTTCGTAGAAGACGTCACTAGATACTTGTATAAAAATCCCGTGGAACCTCACGGCTCAGATCTGGTCGCGATAAATATCCAGAGAGGAAGAGACCACGGCATAAAAGGCTACTCCTCTTATGCCCAGATGTGCAATGGACCACTTCTGTCTTCTTTCGATGACTTCGACAAAATTATGCCAATAACAGTTCGTAAGAAGTTACAAGACCTGTTCGAGTGTGTATGATGCAAGCTGTTGTTTTATCATTTTTACTACCATTTTGTAATGATTATCAATTAACAGACACCAAGATTTTTGTTTACATATCTTCAAAATATTTGACAAATTTAATAACCTAAGATTTTTAGTTAGTATAAGCGACAACAATTTCGTGGTGATGTGATACATCTATTAAAGTGTTTTCTGTACAAATTAAAACGCATGCGTAATAACGCATAATTATTTTAAAATATTAAAACTAATAACACATAATTATGTTAAAATAATAAAACTAATAACACATAATTATGTTAAAATAATAAAACTAATAACACATAATTGTTAAAATATTAAAACTAATGATACAAAAAGTTATGTTAAAATCATAAAACTAATAATACATAATTGTTAAAATATTAAAACTAAAGATACAAAAAGTTATGTTAAAATCATAAAACTAATAATACATAATTGTTAAAATATTAAAACTAAAGATACAAAAAGTTATGTTAAAATCATAAAACTAATAATACATAATTGTTAAAATATTAAAACTAATGATACAAAAAGTTATGTTAAAATCATAAAACTAATAATACATAATTGTTAAAATATTAAAACTAATGATACAAAAAGTTATGTTAAAATCATAAAACTAATAATACATAATTGTTAAAATATTAAAACTAATGATACAAAAAGTTATGTTAAAATCATAAACTAATAACATACATATTTTAAAATATTAGAACTAATTCCAAGTTTTGAAATATTAATTCAAAATATTAAGCTCCAGGGTCCCTCAGCACTACGCTTGAGGATTTGGGGTTCGATACCTGTATTGAGTACAGCTCAGATAGCCAATTATACAGCGAGCAATCAATAATATAATCAAGACTGATAAAAATCAATTAAGAAGTTTGGAAGATACCTATAATTATTGCACAAAAAACCTCCAAGTATGTGTCAATATAAAAGCGAAGAAAAAGTGAAGCAGTAAGCGTATTACTGATTTAAAAAGATGTTTCCCTAAGCTATTCCGCTTCTTTATTAGTAATAAAACCATATTTCATAGATCTGTTGAAGATGTTGACTTATTTTCCGCTGGGGTTTCGGAATATCCTCTTCCAGGAGCAGTGGTGGGTCCAACTTTCGGCTGTATCATAGCTAACCAGTTCGCCAGGATCAAGCATGGTGACAGGTTTTATTTTGAAAATATAATGACGGCAGGATCCTTTACAAAAGGTAAGAGCATTTTGAAAAAAAACGGAATGTTCAACATTTTATAAGCATTTCTCAAACATCTAAGGAATTTCTTGTAAGAGCATTTGTGAAAGAAACCGGAATGTTTAACAACATTTATAAGCATTTTTTAAATATCTAAGGAATTTCTTGTAAGAGCATTTGGAAAAAAAAACCGGAATGTTCAACTACATTTTATAAGTATTTCTTAAATATCTAAGGAATTTCTTGTAAGAGCATTAGGAAAAAAAAACGGAATGTTCAACAACATTTTATAAGCATTTCTTAAATATCTAAGGAATTTCTCACATTTTTTAAAACTATTTATTCACTAGACCTTGAACTTATATTCTTACAATAAAATATAGTGTAACGTTGAATCTATTCTGCTAAGTTTTTATTTAAAAAAACAATTCTATTCATGATTTTGAAGATCAGCGAGAAGAACTTCAGGAGGTGACCTTGGCGGGTATTATTTGTGCGAACAGTTATGGAATTGATAGGATCCAAAGAAAAGTATTTCAACCTGTCGACGAAAAGTAAGTTCGAGTAACGTAGTACTTTCCAGGTCAAAGTAATTACCTACCATTATTTGGTGTATTTCATTTGTTTCTTAAATACGCTTGAGTTTAGTAACGTTATTTAATGGTAAAAAATATGTTTACCATCATATGTCCTCTAGCACAATATACGTTTAAAAAAGTTTCAGTTAGTGGCTTCTAATTTCAGCTCTGTTTATGAACCGGAATTTTGTCCAACATTAGCTTGAATTATAACTTTTTTTTTTTTGGAACATCTGCTGTTAGAGCTTATACTACGAATTAAATATCTTCATGACGATCATATTATATAAAAAATAGGAAATTTACTTTCACTTGTAGTCTTACATAATATATTTTATAAATAAACTATATAATTTAATTTCCATGCTGATGTAAAATAGTTTGTTTGTTACTAAGAGCAAAGCTATGCACTGCGCTACCTATGCTCGTGTCCACCAAAGGTATAGAAACCCAGTTTTTATCGTTATAAGCCTTTAGACTTACCGCTGAACCAGTGGAGACTGTAAGAAGTCTACAAGATTTAAATTTAAGTATTAATTAAAAATAGCTCCTTCTATTTCTTATGTTACAAATAAAAAAAATTATTTCAACGTATTTTCATCCTATTCTTCGTATAAAATATCTCAAAATTAGCAAGCCTTTAAATTAAGCCCTTTCTATTTTTAAGCCCAAGATGGTGGCCTTGGCGAAACTCCCTGCGATGAGTCCTAACATTATAAATTTGCTCTTTTTACTCTGACTTTAACCAAGACACTTTTCTAAACGAGAGGATTTTGGATATATCTAAAACATTTTCAACTTGTATGTTAAAACAGAGGGAGTATTGATTTATTTGATTTTACCAGATCAGACAGACTTTCAGGCAAGTCTACAGCTACTTTTCTACATATCATTTTTGACTGGTGATCATCCGTTTGAAACTCGTTTTTCCCAGTGTCGAAATGCTCAGTATGGGTCATTTTATTAAAATGCACAAGATTTATTTGTTTGTAGTTAAGGGGCTATCTATGCCGTGCTCAGCACAGGCATCGCAACCCGATTTTTGGCGTTGTAAGTCTGCAAACACATACCACGTCCAACTGCAGTAAAGTACATGTTGGTCTCATATCCCCAGGTTTTTCATACATATCCATATAATTTAAAGACAACAAGAGATCTTTTGATTCATCTAGGCCCTCACATCTACTATACTAGACTCTAAAATAGAAATAAAACACTCAGTGCCAACCATTAGCATTCAAATATTTATTAAGCCTTCCCTTAAAACTCCCTTAAAAATTACTGCGTCCACCACATCTGAAGATCAGCTACCCTTTTAGAAAAAACTGTCTTAGATGAAGATAATTCCTACCCTGCCAAAATTTATATTTGTGTCCCCTGGTACGAAAAAATATGATGCCTCAACAATATCAATTCCCTTAACAATCTTAAACATCTCAATTAGATCCCCTCTAACCCTTCATTTTTCAAGAGAAAACAATTTAAGAGATTTTAACCTATCCTCATATCCTCAAAAAAGTCAAATTTAATAACCCAAGCATCCCATAATCGTGAAATATTAGCTTTCCTTTACATTTCTCGAGAGCTCTAATCTCATTCTAACATTTTTTGCACCTTTAATTTATCTAAAAAATCCTTACTATTAATTTTTACCTTCTCAGCTAACTGTTTTCATATAGTTTATTGATTTTCTAATTTCCCGCTTAATCAAATCTCTTGACTTCCTATAATCCTTCAAATCTCCCATCATGCAGTCAGTTTAAACTACTTATATTTACAATGCTTTATAAATTTTATCCTTTCTATTCTTTGTGAGCCAACCTGGTTTTTTAATTGCAACCACCTTTTTTTTCTACAAAGAACATGGCTATCTTGAATATATAAGAATTTTTTTTTCCTCATTTGATCAGTATCCACAATTACTTCAGTTGCCTATTCACAACAGATAATTCTAGTCTTATCTTTTCAAAATTGTATTTTATTTTGTTGTTATTAGAAACCAAAATCTTATTATTCCTAATATATTTATATGCAGCAGAACATCAAATCTAATTAATCCCTTGCGCCCAGTTATTCTCAAATTCCCACCCTGTCAACCATTTCTATGTTAGAAGTTATTATTATATCTAAAACAGCATTGTTCCTAGTAGGTTCCCTAACCAATTATTGAAAAAAAAGCCTTATCGAACAATTTGTAAAAAACCTGTTTCTTCGTGATTTGACTTTAACATTTCCAAGTATGTATACCTAAAATAAAAATATTTATTATTACATCATTAACAGGTGAATTCTTTATTTCACTCTAGAGTTTCTCATTAATTTCTTTAATTACTTCTCGTGGTCTGTAACCAATTCCAACTATAAGCTATAAGGGCTGGAGACGGCTTAAATGGGTAATGAAGAAAAACTTTAATATAAGTTTAACATGACAGCAAATGTACAACGTTTCGACAAGGTTTTGTCATCATCGTTGTACATTTGCTGTCATGTTAAACTTATATTAAAGTTTTTCTTCATTACCCATTTAAGCCGTCTCCAGCCATTATTAGTCTCAAAGTGGGTTCCTCGTCATCGAATTTATAAGCTATAAGCTTCTCCCCTCATAATCACTAACAGAAACCCAAATAGATTCAACATCATTGCTGTTAGCTTTGATATCTTCAACCTTGAACAGGCTGTAACTCACATTTTAGATACAAAGCCTCTCCTCTTCCTCATTTTTATACTCTATCCCTATTAAATAGCCTATAACCCTGTATTTCAAAAAAAATTCCTATGATCAAAATTCTCTACATTTAACCATGTTTCAGTTATTCTCATTCTATCAAAATTTTATGTTTCGACCAGTGTACTTAAGTTCTCCATTTTACTTCTTGTACTTTTATACCACCTCCATGTTTGTCTTAGTATTGTCAGGTTTTATACCACCTGCAGTAAAATACATGTTGGTTTACGTACACACAGGTTTTATACCATCTCCACTTGCAGAAAAGTACATGTTGGTATACTTATACTCAGGTTTTATACCATGTCCACTTGTAATAAAGTACATGTTGGTTTACGTACACACAGGTTTTATACCATGTCCACTTGCAATAAAGTATATGTTGGTATACTTATACTCAGGTTTTATACCATGTCCACTTGTAATAAAGTACATGTTGGTCTACGTATACTCAAGGTTTTATACCATGACCACTTGCAATAAAGTACATGTTGGTCTATGTATACTCAGGTTTTATACCATGACCACTTGTAATAAAGTACATGTTGGTCTACGTATACTCAGGTTTTATACCATGTCCACTTGTAATAAAGTACATGTTAGTCTACGTATACTCAGGTTTTATACCATGTCCACTTGTAATAAAGTACATGTTGGTCTACGTATACTCAGGTTTTATACCATGACCACTTGTAATAAAGTACATGTTGGTCTACGTATACTCAGGTTTAATACCATGCCCACTTGCAATAAAGTACATGTTGACTTAGAGAGTACTCATTTTTTATACTACCCTCCGCTGACTTCTTTTGAATTTACGCCATTTGTAAAACGCTATTCTGGAATTGCACCCTTATTGCCTGATATAATCATTGAATAGACAATTTTGCTGGTTTGAAATGTGTATTCCACAAGTTAAGGGAGCGATGGCTAGACTATTCCATCTGTTCAATGGGATATTTCCGTTTCTCATAACCACAAAGTGAAAAAAAGGTACTGCTCAGACTTATGTGTTAATATATCACAGCTTCCAACTGCGGTATAGAAAATAAAACAAAATTCAATCGTGCCCAGGTATGTGCATAAGCGTAAATATGGTGACTATTGGGTTACTCAGAGCTCTTCTTAAGACACAAAAATCTTGAACTGTCCAGGCCATTGCTTAAGTAATTGTATTATTTAATTATGTATTTTTAAAAAGAACAATAGACTTGAATTCTAAGCACCACAGGACTGTCTTTACTTTTTTTAACGGTGAATATTTTGGCACTGTCCGTTGACAAAATCTTAAAATTTTGGTTTGTATCAGAAACGGCAAAAATTAAATAAAACATGCAAGTTTTTAGACTGAGATGCTAAAGTGGTATGCCTTTGACTCTTTATTTTTCATTTAAAAGTTATTACGTAACTGTTTAAAAGCTTGTACAAACACGTTTCTTCGAATTTTACTAGGAACCCAGTGGTATATTGTGACACTATAAAACAACCTGACTGGGATGAATGGAAACAAGGTAGGTTTTAGCTTATTATTAAGATGATTACAAAAAAAATTAATAATTGGAACGAATGAAAAGAAAATTAATTAATTTTAGAAAATAGAATATGATTAATTTTTATGATTATGATGAATAAGAAGATGGTTAGTTTTGAATTCTGACCGAGATTAAATGAAGAGTGGTAATTTTTTTAGGTTCTGGTTGAAAGTAAATTAATGATAATTTAAAGCTTTCAGTTTCACGACTGCAAAATGAGCTTACATAGTTCAACAAAACACAATACAGTTTCTTGGTTAATTAAGTTTTAGTAATTCATTTAAAATATGTAAATTATTTTATAGTCAAACACAATTTCAAGGACAGTTATAAGTTTTGTTAACTACTGCTATCTCGTTTTGAGTGTGATATTTCAAATTATGGTCGTCGAAATCTGGAATATTGCAGTACTCCCATTCGTATTTACAATTTTATAGATATAATTAAGCGTAGACCACTAAAAATAAGTAGTAAGGTGAAATCACAACACTGCGTCTTGTAAATAGATTATTATAATAAAACATTTTGTTCCCTTATTTTACGACAAAATAACGCTTAACTCACTACAACAGTAAAAAGACAATAAACATCTCGCTTTGAACACTATTTACCTCACGATTATTTTACATAAAAATGAACCTCTGTTTATCGGAAATGTTTGTTTGTTGCAAGAAAAATTTTCTGACTAAGCAAAGAGCTATCCAGGTGATACTGATGGACCAGAATTGTACAGAGAAATTAAAGACTGGTTCAAATTGATTTGCTAACATTTATAATTTCATATGGTGAAGATGTTTTCCCAAATTTAAGAATTGTATTGCAGATTTTGTTAACAATTGGGGTTTCTATTGCTAGTTGTGAAGGTCCTTCAGCAAGCTGAAATTAATTCTTACATACTTGAGAACCTCAATGACTCAAGAACGACTTAGTA